TTTTGGGGTGATTTGGGCTGGTTTTGGGTCCTGCTGCTCCTGGGGGGCTCCCGGTCCTCCCGGCCACCGGGGGGCGCTGAGGAGCAAGAGGTGAGCAGGGGGGACGCTCTGCCCTTTGGAGGAGTTTTGGGGGTGAATTTGGGTTGGGTTTGGGTAGTTTGAGGTGGTTTTGGGTGATTTGAGGTGGTTTTGGGGGTTTTGAGGCGGTTTGGGTGAGTTTGGGTGGTTTTGAGGAATTTGGGGTGATTTGGGGTAGTTTGAGGCATTTTGGGTTGGTTTGGGTGGTTTTGAGGCATTTTGGGTGGTTTTGGGTGGTTTGAGGCATTTTGGGTGGTTTGAGGCATTTTGGGTGGGTCTGGGTCTTTTGAGTAGTTTTGGGTGGTTTTGAGGGTGAGTTTGGGGTGATTTGGGGTGAATTGGGGTGGATTTGGTTCAGTTTGGGTTGGTTTTAGTTGTTTTTGGGGTGTTTTTGGTTGTTTTGGGTGTCTTTGAGTGTTTTGAGCTGGTTTGAGTGGCTTCGAGTGTTTTGGGGTGGTTCAGGTGTTTTTGTGCAATTCTCTGTGGGTTTTGGGGTGGTTTTCTGCGTTTTTGGGTGTTTTGATCGTTTCGGGGTCGATTCCGTGCAATTTCGGGTCGATTTTGGGTCGATTTCGCATCGATTTTGGGTCGATTTCGGTGGTTTTTTTCCTCTCGGTCCTCCCAGCCAGCAGGGGGCGCCCTGGAGGTGTCTCTACAGCTGCCGCCGCTCCGCCCCTCCGACGACGGCTCCTTCGTCTGCTCCGTCACCGCCCCCCGCGGCCACGCCCAGCAGGTCCTGCGCCTGCGCGTCATTGGTCAGTACTGGGGGGGGGGGCGGACTGGGGGGCACTGGGGGGGCTCCCAGTATGGCCCAGTATCGCCATTAGGCCTTTACTGGGCTGGGAAGGGTCTGGAGGGTCCGTATGGGACTGGAATGGGTTCTGTGGGGACTGGTACGGATCCTGTATGGACCGGTCCGACCCTATATGGACCCCAACTGTGGCTCCCAGTGCCTCCCAGTATGTCCCAGTCCCCCTATATAGGCCTATACTGGCATGGGACGGGTCTGTAGGCTCCATATGGGACTGGTCCAGGTTCTATATGGACCAGTCCAAGCCCTGTATGACCCAGTCCGCTCCTATATGACCCCCACCCTTTCCTCCCAGCGCCTCCCAGTGCCTCCCAGCGCCTCCTAGCACCTCCCAGCGCCTCCCAGTGCCTCCCAGCATCTCCCAGTACCTCCCAGTGCCTCCCAGTTCCTCCCAGTCCCCCCCAGTCCCTCCCAGCACCTCCCAGCACCTCCCAACCCCTCCCAGTACGTCCCAGCGCCTCCCAGTACCTCCCAGCGCCTCCCAGCACCTCTCAGCGCCTCCCATCGCCTCCCAGTGCCTCCCAGTACCTCCCAGCGCCTCCAAGTGCCTCCCAGCACCTCCCAGTGTGTCCCAGCACCTCCCAGTCCCTCCCAGCCCCTCCCAGCGCCTCCCAGCACCTCCCAGTCCCTCCCAGTGCCTCCCAGTCCCTCCCAGTCCCTCCCAGTGCCTCCCAGCGCCTCCCAGTCCCTCCCAGTGCCTCCCAGCACCTCCCAGCCCTTCCCAGTTCCTCCCAGCACCTCCCAGTGCCTCCCAGCACCTCCCAGTCCCTCCCAGCACCTCCCAGCACCTCCCAGCGCCTCCCATCGCCTCCCAGTGCCTCCCAGTTCCTCCCAGTGCCTCCCAGTCCCTCTTAGTGCCTCCCAGCACCTCCCAGCGCCTCCCAACACCTCCCAGCGCCTCCCAGTTCCTCCCAGTTCCTCCCATCGCCTCCCAGCACCTCCCATCACCTCCCAGTGCCTCCCAGTACCTCCCATCACCTCCCAGTGCCTCCCAGTATGTCCCAGTCCCCCTATATAGGCCTATACTGGCATGGGATGGGATGGGTCTATAGGCTCCATATGGACCAGTCCGAGCCCTGTATGACCCAGTCCACCCCTATATGACCCCCACCCTTTCCTCCCAGTCCCTCCCAGTCCCTCCCAGTTCCTCCCAGTCCCTCCCAGTACCTCCCAGCACCTCCCAGTACCTCCCAGTACCTCCCAGCACCTCCCAGCCCTTCCCAGTTCCTCCCAGTTCCTCCCAGCACCTCCCAGTGCCTCCCAGTCCCTCCCAGCGCCTCCCAGTGCCTCCCAGTCCCTCCCAGCACCTCCCAGCGCCTCCCAGTCCCTCCCAGCGCCTCCCAGTGCCTCCCAGTCCCTCCCACCGCCTCCCAGTGCCTCCCAGCACCTCCCAGCCCTTCCCAGTTCCTCCCAGTGCCTCCCAGTCCCTCCCAGTCCCTCCCAGCGCCTCCCAGTCCCTCCCAGCGCCTCCCAGTCCCTCCCAGTGCCTCCCAGTCCCTCCCAGCGCCTCCCAGTACCTCCCAGCACCTCCCAGTACCTCCCAGTACCTCCCAGCACCTCCCAGCCCCTCCCAGTTCCTCCCAGTTCCTCCCAGCACCTCCCAGTGCCTCCCAGTCCCTCCCAGTGCCTCCCAGTGCCTCCCAGTCCCTCCCAGCGCCTCCCAGTCCCTCCCAGCGCCTCCCAGTGCCTCCCAGTCCCTCCCAGCACCTCCCAGCGCCTCCCAGTCCCTCCCAGCGCCTCCCAGCGCCTCCCAGTCCCTCCCAGCGCCTCCCAGTGCCTCCCAGTCCCTCCCAGCACCTCCCAGCGCCTCCCAGTCCCTCCCAGTCCCTCCCAGTCCCTCCCAGCACCTCCCAGCACCTCCCAGTACCTCCCAGTTCCTCCCAGCGCCTCCCAGTCCCTCCCAGCACCTCCCAGCACCTCCCATTGCCTCCCAGCGCCTCCCAGCACCTTCCAGTCCCCCCCACTCCCTCCCAGTCCCCCCCACTCCCTCCCAGTCCCTCCCAGCACCTCCCAGTCCCTCCCATCTCCCCCTCTGACCCCTCCCCGCGCCCCTTTGTCCCCCCCCCGCAGCCCCTCCCCGGGTGTCCGTGGTCCCGTCCCCCCTGGTGCTGCTCCCGGGGGTCCCGGCGGAGCTTCGCTGCGACGCCGTCGGCTTCTTCCCGCTGGACGTGGGGATCCGCTGGGAACGACACCACGGGGTCGGGGGGTCCCGGCGGGCGCTGCCGGTGCCCGCGGGGGACACGTGGAGCTCCGGGCACCGTCGGGCGGCCGACGGGTCCTTCGGGCGCAGCGCCGGGCTCAGGGTGACACGGGCGGAGCACGGGGACAGCTACGACTGCGTGGTCACACACCCGGCCTGGGGGGAGCCCAGCAGGGTCAGCGTCGGAGTGGAGGTGGCGGGTGAGGAGGGGGGAGGGGGTGGGGGACAG